CTGCATGTGGCTCTTTCATTTCTCCGCTGCAGCTCCCTGTCATCGGTTGGCTCCACAATTGATAGGGCTTTCGGTTAGGACAGGTAGAGGAAAAAAGGACACCATGCTAGGAGGAAACTCTATGGTGGGGTACCAGACTTCCAGTTAGCAGAGAGAAAAGGATGCCACACTAGGAGGAGACTCTATGATGGGGGAACCAGACTTCCGGTTAGCAGAGGGAAAAGGATGCCACACTAGGAGGAGACTCTATGGTGGGGGAACTGGACTTCCGGTTAACAGAGGGAAAAGGATGCCACACTAGGAGGAGACTCTATGGTGGGGGAACCGGACTTCCGGTTAACAGAGGGAAAAGGATGCCACACTAGGAGGAGACTCTATGGTGGGGGAACCGGACTTCCGGTTAACAGAGGGAAAAGGATGCCACACTAGGGGGAGACTCTATGGTCAGGGAACTGGACTTCTAGTTGGCTCCAGAATTGAATGGGGGGCTTCTAGTTAGGACCTTTGTGGCTCTTTGAATGTTTAAGGTTGCCGACCCCTGGGCTAGAAGACCTCCTTGGGATCTAGTGGAAGCAACCCAGGAGAACATATCACTCTCTTTAGACTTGAACTTTAGAGGGAAAAGAAGATTCCCACCATCTGTCATGGATCTCCGGGGAAGAGTTGAGACTCTCCCCTGGAGGAAAGGATCCAAAGAGAGGTGGCCTCTCCCTCACTTCCTCTCGAAATGGTGACTCCATCTAAGCTCTGGAGGGAACTCCCTTCCCTAAGGTAAAGGTTCCCCTCACACAGGCCTGCTGCTCGTTCCCAACTCTAGGGGGGCGGTGCTCATCTCCGTTTCAAAGCCGAAGAGCCAGCGCTGCCCGAAGACGTCTCCGTGGTCCTGTGGCTGGCATGACTCAACACCGAAGGCGCATGGAACGCTGTTCCCTTCCCACCAAAGGTGGTCCCTATTTTTCTACTTGCATTGTTTTACCTGCTTTCGAACTGCTAGGTTGGCAGGAGCTGGGCCAAGTCACGGGAGCTCACTCCGTTACGCGGCGCTAGGGATTCGAACCGCCGAACTCCCGGCCTTTCTGAGCGACAAGCTCAGTGTCTTAGCCGCTGAGCCACCGTGCCCACTTCCCTTCCCTAGCCTTCCGCTTCCCTTCCCTACGGCACGTCTAATGGGGTGAAATGAGATTGTGCATGGTGGTGGACATTGAGTGAAAACATGCAGTACCTCTGAGACATGTTACTTTCACTGGATCCAGAGGGCGCCTTTCAGGACCAATGTCTCCTGACTGCACTGACCTTTTTCGTTTCCCAAGGCCGCACGAGTACTTAAGCTCATCGGTGGTGAAGACAAATCTGATGAGGTACCGAAGGAGACGCCGCCCGTCTTTCTTGGAGGAGTTGACGGCCTCGTCCCACTGTTTGCTAGTGATGAAGACGGGGTAATTGTTCAGCAGTTGCTTGCTCCCCTAAGAAGGACATTGACAACGGAGTCAACAGCAAAATAGCAGGACAACAGGAAGAATAACAGACTAAAAACAGAATAGCAGAGCAGAATAAGAGAATAGCAGAAGATTAAGAGAATAACAGAACAACAAATGACAGAATAACAATAGAATAACATCATGAATGGAATAACAGAACAGAAAAAGCAGAATAATAGGATAGCAGAATAACACAGTAACAGAGTAACAGAACAACAGAATAGAGTAGCAGAATAACACAATAACAGAATAGAATAATAGAATAAGAAAATAGCAGAATAACAATAACAGAATAACAGAATAAGGATCGAATAACAGAACATAATAAGAGAATACCAGAATAACAAAACAGAATAACAGAACAACAAATAACAGAATAACAATAGAATAACATTATTAACAGAATAACAGAACAAAAACCAGAATAGCAGAATAACACAATAACAGAATAAAAAAATAGCAGAATAACAATAACAACAGAATAGAACAACAGAAGAATTATAGAATAAAAACAAAATAACAGAATAGAATAACAGAATAACAGAACAACGAACAGACTACCAATCGAATAACATCATTAACAGAATAACAGAACTGAATGACCCAGTAACACAATAAGAATAGAGTAAGAGAATAAGAAAACAATAACAGAAAAGGATAATAGAAAAACACAAAAGAATAACAGAATAGCAGAATAACCCAACAACACAATAGCAGAATAGAATAATAGAATAAGAAAAGAGCAGAATAACTATAACAGAATAACAGAATAAGGACCGAATAACAGAACAGAATAAGAGAATAGCAGAATAACAAAACAGAATAACAAAACAACACATTACAGAATAACAATAGAATAACATCATTAACAGAATAACAGAACAAAAAAAAAACAGAATAGCAGAATAACACAATAGCACAATAGAATAAGAAAATAGCAGAATAACAACAACAACAGAATAACAGAAGAATAACAGAATAAAAACAGAAGAACAGATCAGAATAAGAAAATAGCAGAATAACAAAAGAGAATAAGAGAATAGCAGAAGAATAAGAGAATAACGGACCAACAAATAGCAGAATAACAATAGAATAACATCATTAACAGAGTAAAAAAATAACAGAATAGGATAAAAGAATAACGCAATAGAATAACAGAATAGCAGAATAACACAACAGCACAATAAGAGAATAGAATAATAGAATAACAAAATATCAGAATAACAACAACAATAGAGTAACAGAACGCAGAATAAACAGAAAAGCAGAACAAGTCTATAAAATAAGAGACTAACAGGGTTGGAAGGGACCTTGGAGGCCTTCTAGTCCAGCCCCATGCTTGAACATAAACCCCAGAGCAACCAGCACACCCAGGTGGTCAGGAGGAAAAGGAAAAAGAGAAGGCAAGGGGGAGTTCAAATGCCAGGTACACAAAAGTTAAAACAAAACAAAACCCACAAAGGAGACTGTAAAATGCAGTAGAGAAATTTGTAATCCAAATTGACAGCCGGGAACAAGGGGATTATTCATCTTAATAACACCGTAAACCAAGTTGCGTTTGCATTTTGTCAAACAGGGGGAGTGAGAGAAGACTGGGAGCATCTCGGGAAGAGAAGATGCTATTTATAACGGGCTTTTGCAGGTGAGCTAAAGAGTGTCAAGATCCAGTGATTGAGAAAGCTAGTGAAGTATCTTCCGTTCTTTTGTTAAAATGTGTAAAAAAAAAAATGCCTTTGGAACAGTGTAGCAATAGCAGTTAGACTTAGATACCGCTTCATAGGGCTTTCAGCCCTCTCTAAGCGGTTTACAGAGTCAGCATA